GTTTAGTATTCGCAGTATTCGTTTAGTATTCGCGGTATTCGTTTAGTATTCGTTTAGTATTCGCAGTATTTGTTTAGTATTTGCAGTATTCGTTTAGTATTCGCAGTATTCGTTTAGTATTCGCAGTATTCGTTTAGTATTCGTTTAGTATTCGCAGTATTCGTTTAGTATTCGCGGTATTCGTTTAGTATTCGTTTAGTATTCGCAGTATTTGTTTAGTATTTGCAGTATTCGTTTAGTATTCGCAGTATTCGTTTAGTATTCGCAGTATTCGTTTAGTATTCGTTTAGTATTCGCAGTATTCGTTTAGTATTCGCTTAGTATTCGCGGTATTCGCTTAGTATTTGCGGTATTCGCACTATTCGGTCACTATTCGGGTTTTATCACTTACCTTCCACATGAACTGACGTTTATAGTACGCACAGCTGGAATCAACCGTCTCTGAGCGTACAGCTGTACGTACAAAAAAAAGCCATCTCCGGCTGGTAATGAAGGAAAGTTGGATTAAATGAAATAAAGTTACTGTAGCAAGAATAACGAGGTCAATGAGAGGTAATGAGAAGTACTCACTAGCTATTTTTCCTTGAATTATAATAGGGACTTGGACAACATGTCGCCCAGGTGAACCAACTGTGCAATCTAACAAAGCTTTGTGTCATATCTCATTGGTCTCCCTGTCATTGTACGTCTTTCATTTGGAAATAGCTAGACAGCTAATGAAGCTCGATCAAAGGAATTATTGGACCATCGTAAAAAAAAGCATATAACTCAAAATCTATTCAGTAAAAAAGATTATCTAGTCCGACTCGAAAGTTTTCTTTTATTTCGTTTTTGTGTCTACACCCGTCCTAAGACGGGTAGCCAATATGTCATCGTTCTGTGAAGTTAGTAAGTCAGTAACATTTGCACGTTTTAGATTCGCGCAAGAGGAAATGAAAAGAASTTATCCGCCATAATGGACTTTGCACTAACTTGAGATCCGTTAATTCTGTTTTAAGGGTTCAGTTATTTTGAAGACAGAACGTGATTGGTTAGATCGTGATTGGCTAGATCGTGATTGGTTAGATCGTGATTGGTTAGATCGTCAAGGCACTTAAATTCAAAGTGGCGGAAAGTGATTCACGACAACTCCTTCATTGGTATTCTCCTCTCGAAGCCGTTATGAGGCCCTCGTTCCCAGAAGGTCTCTGACCCCTGGGAAAGAACCTCATAACGGCTGCGAGAGCGAGACTACTTCATAAACTGCAGGCTGCGCAATAATTATGGGGAGTTGCTATAAGAAATGAATAAAAAAAGTTGAAAAGTTAATGACTTCCCTCCCTCACAAAGGAATTGAAAAAAACTTATGCGATTCCCTCCTATCATGACTGACGAATTAGCCTACACCCCTCCATYTCTAATGTGATTTGTACAGAAATCTGCCTTCACGTTCACGTACGATCATGACTATAAGGACACAACGAGATCATCAGGTCTGAGAATCGAACCAAGGCGGTCCAACGCGGTACCGTGGCAATTCAGATTGGTACCCGCTATTGAATTTCTAAAYTGATTGGGAATTCACAATCTTTCTTTGTTTATAGTATTATTTTTCAATTATTATAATTATCAATTATTATATAATTATCTTGATTTGAAAAAGAAACGTTTCAGATGGTATCCCATTATTAATATTTACTTTAACAATATCTCACATTTGAGCGATTGCACCGCTAAATTCATTATGTCGCTACTTTGAGATTTTCATTTGTTTCAGGTATTTCTTTATATGGATAATAACATATGTAGAATAGTTTATAGATGTAATGTAACGTGCCGATAAATACTCAAATTATTATCCTTATTTTCGCTAAATATACTAGTTACTTGTTACTAAATACTAGTTACTTTTTGTTTGTAAACACTGCTATAAGGTGATGATTAATCCATATATTGCCAAGGAGTAGTTAGGATGGGTGTGTGCAGCTAGGATGGGTTTCTGGTGCAGCTATAGGATGGGTTTCGAGTGCAGCTAGGATGGGTTTCGAGTGCAGCTAGGATGGGTTTCGAGTGCAGCTAGGATGGGTTTCTAGTGCAGCTAGAATGGCCATGGATTGGAGCCGTGATATAGTCGTTGATGATGGTAAGGGTAGGGGTGTAGATAGTGGTAAAGATGATGCTTGTCTTCAAATTTTGCGACAGTCTGAACAACCCATGGTGTCAACACCGACATATTGGAATACACTCCGTATTTATGGGGCCTGGCACATTCATGGCCCCACGACACTACCCCTGTAAGGAAGTATTGGCCATGTTCTTCACAGCTTAGAGGGCCACCACTATCAAACTGACAGGCGTCTACGCCTCCCCCCTCATACCCTGCACACATCGCTCGTTGGTGGATTTTACCGCCATACGATAAGGGCTTGTTGCAAGTGTCTAACGAGACGATCTTCACTTGAGCTTCGCGGAGAGCAGGTGGCTTAGTCCCATTGAATCGAGTGTGTCCCCATCCTGTTAAATAGCACGTCTTGCCAGGTTTGACAGTCTGACAGTAATGAAGAAGGCAGATTGGGTAAACATTGCTTGTTATCCTCGCAGGCCTACTCAGTCTGATCATGGCTAAGAATAAACATAAAGATTGAATTTGGTCGCTTGGTCTATTGCTTGGTTTGATAGATTGCTTGGTTTGATTGGTTGGTTGGATGGTGCCTTGGTTGATTGGGTAGTTGGTGGTTAGTGTGTTGGTTGGTTAGTTGCAGATTGACTAGGTTGTTTGGAATTGATTGGTTGGTTCGTGGTTAATTTTTGGTTGGTGGGTTGTGAGGTTAGTGGATTGGTTGGTTGGTTGGGTAAAGGCCGGGTTAGTGGGTTGATTGGTTGGTTGGCTGCAGGTTGATTGGGAGCGGTTGGTTGGTTGGGGAATTGATCGGTTGGTTGGTTGGTTACATTTGGTTTGCTGGTTGATGGCCATGGGTGGGATAGTTGATTGGATTTTAGGTAGGTTGGCTAGTCACTATCAACTATAAAACTTGTCCAGTGATGATTGATGAGCAAGTTACTTACCAATATCATAATCAGGCGGTGTGTCTAGAATTCCCTGGAAGTACGGAAAATTATACTTGGGATGTAGGATGATATGTTGGATGTTTCTGACCTGCTCAAAAACCTCCTTATCCTTTAATTTATGCTCCCCTAAGGTTGCACTCCAGTGCTTTGGATTTGTAGACGAGTAAGAGTCTGTAAGTAAAGCATGTACGTTTAATCAATAAACAGATAACAAGCACCACATTTACCATAATTATCAACTTAATAAAGTTCGTTTAACACTCAGTTGCGTGACATGAAAAACGACCAAAGACTCTATTTAATACAGGAACTGATGTTGCATCATGCTTCAGACTTATAAGAGCTTGCTAGTATGGTGTTTCGTTCGAGTGTCAAGTTGCAATGTTATTGCTGCAGTCTTACCATGAAAGCAATGTGCTGCTGTGACTATCCAATCACTGTTGATAAGCGATCCAGCACACACTTGTGTACCGTTGAAATAAAGAGCCACTTGCCAGGGCCATGATCCGGGTTGACTCTCTTTTCCTCCAACAACTCGCTTTTGTTGTTGCCTTAATCGTTTCCACCATGTGTAATTGTCATCATAAGGAACATCTGATGTAAACTTGTGTCCACAGAACGGGTAGGGGTTTACATTGAACATATCTACAAAATACGGCAAATCAGTAGACTCAACTAGGAAAATCTGATTTCCCCTCCGTACTCCGTACGCTATTAACTGTTAAATTAAAAAAATGGAATGTTGTTTTGCAGCAAAAATTTTTAAAGCAATACATCATTGTATAAACACACCACTGAAAACACATTCCTAGCAAATTAACGGCGAAAAACAGAGTAGCTTTTGAAAGAGAAAGGTAAAATTGATTGCACTTTCTCTGAACTGGAGGCTAAACCTGTAGTTCTTCAAAGTTTAATTTTAGCTCAAATACGGGTGCGCCCCCAACTCCCCCAAAAAGACATCTTGTTCGTATGCTTACCAAACTCGTCAATATATAACCCTTTGGCTCGTCCATGAACTTTAAAAACTATCAACAACAACCCATAGATGGCTACTTTGAACATTGTGAAACTAGTATGATATCTCGAGTCTCCTTTACTCTAATGCGTCATAGCAGGGTATAAACTCTCTAATGTGCATTCTTTAAAATCTGTTGATAAATCATTGTCTATTTGTCCAATCAGGGTCGTCCATTTTGGTCTCTGAATACTGATGGTAAATTGATGCTGGATTAATTTATCAWTTTTTTGTCAAATGTACAAATCAATCGGTCGTAATTTATCTGTTATATTTATTACAATCCTCATTTAAAGTAAACTCTATCAATCTATGCTTTTAATGATGTAGCAAGTATTTTCTGAAGAAGGCGATTTACAACAATTATCGCTGGCGATGTCAAATGTTGGCCCATGATTGGATCATTTGTCTCGTTGTTTATTATCACAATCAAGACGAGTGGGAACGGTTCTCTTTAATAACATGTACAAGAACAACAAATTTAAAAGTAAGCTTATAATAAATTTTATGTAGACGATAAATTGAAAACCACTCAKATGTTAAGGACAGGCTTTAGTTGTTTTGAAGAAGATCATCGTACATCATTTCACTAACGAGGCAATAGACCTGCTTTTCGCGGTTAAACCAAAGCTGGCAACATGATTGCCGGCTGCAGTCCTCAAATGAACAAGTGTTATATCAATAGAGTGCCAAGAATTATATCAATAGAGTTATGACTTTTTTCACCRTCAAAAATTATTTTCCTGGCATTGCAAAATTAAGATAAACAAGTTCAAAGATAACAATTTTTGCGTGCAAAACCATTATAGCCTCCTCGTGTTTCCTTACCGCGAAAAGGGATATTTGAGACAATACTTTCAATTCTGCCTCCGTCTGGAAATATGTATGTAAAACAAAAAGATAAACATGGCGTATGTCGTCGAAAGCGCTATTCCTTATTCGTTCATACGCGATACAATAAGTATAGTGCCACCCTTCCCTACCTTTTTCTGGCTTAGAAACAGATTATGAATGAATATATAAAAGAAATGAAATCTGAGACAAAACCACATAAGAAAAGCTCTATTTTCACATRGTCGCGAGTCGCGTGATATGTAATATCAGATTTCATATTAACAGGTGGAATTGGTAAGGGAAGAAAGTACGTTTATTACATGGGGGCTGGTTTATTACATGGGGGCTGGAGTTTTCAGAGTAATTTTTTTTTAAGTGTGACCCATCCCAGTAATTCTAAAACTAACTTTTGACCCTCCCGTCAAAAGGTTCAAAAACCCTCTCACCAACCGCCACTCACAAGTCTCAGGCTACCAAAGTTTACAGAAAGCATGCCATTATTTACACCAATCATGCTAATAGGAGATTTGCATTATGGAGTCATTTACTACAACTACCAGAATGCTTTGCCCACTTTCTTTTGTAATGCAATTAGTGCCAATTGTTTTACTAATCGCTAAGGGGATTAAAAATCTGAACAAAGAAAATGCGCAAGGCTTTCTGGTAGTTGTAGTAAAGTTACGCCATCATGCAAATGGGCTATTCAAAAGGAGACTGGGAACGAGCTTGAAAATATTGCACTCATCGAAAACTGAACCTCACCACATGAAAGACCACACTAAAATAAGTGTTTTTGTCAAGTTTGTTTTCCTTTTTTTTTATCCCTAAAAATTAAATCTCAATGCGCTTGAAAGTAAATTGCTAATCGATTTCCCGGATGTGCAAACGTGTCGTAGAAGCTATGACAACATTGGCTGGAATCTGTTGTCATGTGATTGGTTTTCTAAGATGAATGTTTGAAGGCCAAATTTCGACGTTTCAACAAATACTTTTGTTAGTTTATTTTGGATTATTTTTACTCGTAGTATGGGTTTCAAGAAGTAGGGAAGTACGCATTGAAAAGGGAAAATGCGTAATGATTATATTTTCAGAGAAAGACACTACTTTAGAAATGATTTATTTAAAATGTTGCAATACAAATAATTACACTTTTCTTCTAGGCCTTGTTGTAGCATAGAGATTAGAATGTTCTCACTTATGAAATAGATATAGCTTTGACAGCATTCCGATTGGGTGTTAGACCATGGTTGCATGGAAATGTTAAGAGGAAAAGTCTATAAGAGGTTCTTATTTCATAATTGTCCTATAGTATGTTGGGGATTAATTTGTCCTATAGTATGTTGGGGATTAATTTGTCCTATAGTATGTTGGGGATTAATTTGTCCTATAGTATGTTGGGGATTAACAGGAGTTTGTAGCTTCTCTGAGAGATCTTGAATGCCTGGTTTCACAGGCTAGTCTACATTAGTTATCATTATATCTATTCAATAAAATCTTCTGAAGAAAATTTGATACAAAAATATCTACAAAACATTTTTTTAAATGTTTAAAATTWCAAAAAAAACTTTATTAAAAATCTGATAAATCTGGCAATTCTACTTTGTYGTGTATGTCAGCTTGACTTTGATTTAGCTGCTTGTAAAAGTATCTGTTTTTTCCACTCCTCATAATCGTCTGTCTTGGAAATTTCTTCAGTGTCTTYACAATGCTTTTGTCTCTTTGCTGTTTTACAATTTTCTGAAATGATATACATGTTTATTATCATACAGTACATTAAGATATTCAGCACCAAATCACCATCTGTTTTGTAAGTTTTTGACATGGAAATTTATATTCTTAATTAATTAATTCATCCCTAAAATGCCAACATTTTTTACCTACTCATATCACATGGAAAAAAGGGGTTTTACAACAAACGTTTTTGCTTCTCTAACCTCACAGACCTATTTCTCAATTATACAGATTTTAAGCAGACATTTAATAATGTAATATACAATTCATCAGTGGTTCTTTGAAAAAGATGCAGAATTTTAACTTGAAGATAAGTTGTAAAATGTAGCAAAAGTAACTTCAACTGAGAGTGATGTTCAGTGCARGATATTACYGCCAAGAGTGGGAGATTTTCTGGTAATTTGACTAAATAGCATAAACAAATGCATAAACAAATCACCATTGATAGGTAATAAAACAGTCATTCCTTAACAGATGTATAAAACAAAGAAGACTAGCCACGTTAACGATATTAGACTATTGCTGTATGAATAAGAWCTATCAAATATCATTATAACAATAGAAATTCTTATGAGCATCTTTCTAGCATTCATTGTAAACACACAAAAAGAGACATATACAAGACCAGTATTTTCTAGGTTTATAGAGCTAACCTTCCACAGCTTCTTGAAGTCTGTCAATCAATCCATGAGATCTTTTTGAGCCACTACTTGCTGTATCTCCTTAAAATATTAATAGTAGTTATTGATTATAAAAATTAAGTTCATCTCATGCAATCATAGAAAACAAACTTACTTATTTTTTCTTTTGATAGTTTATTCATCTCATCAGTGAGTTTGTCAAACTGAGATTTTTTTACACTGAGAAGGGCTAACAACTTGGACTTTTCTATTTTGACTTTCTGTAATCTAAAGAACATTCAAATCAGTATTTGATTAATAAGTCTATGTTATTTATAATACTTCTTCTGCTTGAATATTTTGACAGACCACAATACAGTAGCATGGCAAGTTGTACTTATCAAACGCTACATAAAATATGTAATCTGAKTTTTGGATGTATCATTGGAGGAAGAGATGCATCAATGGAAATGGTGGTGCAACAGATTCACTATCTGTGCAACAGCAACATGACACACTCACAAAACTAGTCAATGCTAACAACATTGAATAGAGAAAACGCAGGAGAACCATAAAATCAAACTAAATACCAACAAATAGCGMCTATTTAGAGACAATTTGTCAGTATCAATGAACCAGAACACAATGAAGATGAATTCGCATGGGACTATTAAATTTTTTAATTCGTCTTTATTGCATTCTGGTTCACTGATACTAACAATTTGTCTCTAAATAGCTGCTATTTGTTCATTTTGTACCGCTATTTGTTCATTTTGTACACTCTAAGAATTACATCATCTTTCTTAGGTTTCTGGGTGCTAATAAATGTCTTGTGGCAGTATAAGACTTCATAATTTCAATTTGTTGCAATTTGTGACTGCTGTGAGCCTGAGACCACATGTAGTTAATAGTGTCAGGGATAAAGCAAGTGGACCAATATTTAGTTTTATGTTATAACCATTACCTGCAGGTAGTATATAGGGCAGCAGCAGCAAAAACTGGATTACTGAGATTCTCTTGAATCTGTGTAACAAACTGTTCTTGATAGCTAAAATAAATAAAATATTTCAGGAAATTAACTGCAAGCAGATATCTTTATATCCATTGGGTTCCAAGATCTATTTTCTGTTTTCTAATATTAAACTGAAAAKATCTTTGTAAGAGAGCAGTCTGCTTCAATCAAAGACATTGTTCTCATTATTTATATGCCTAATATTGAAGTCAGCACAAAAAATTAGTCATAGAGATTGGTGTTTTTTCCAGTGCAAGCAATCTTTTGACGCAGAAACACAGTGTAAGAACAGTCTGTTATACTAGTAAATATTTGCTTTCTCATGCTTTCTTTTGGTCTTAGCTTTCATGATGGCTAACTTTCATATGTTGGAACCTGACTGTTTCTTAAAATAACCATTAATCCAAATAATTCTTACCTTTTCAGCAAATGCTGTGAAAACTTTGACATTTCAGGCACTCCAAAGTGAACTGCAAGATCATGGACAGAGTAGGATTTTTGCTTCCCTAGCAARCACTCAAATGTTTTATAAGCATGTTGATATGCTTTCTTGGTTGGCATTCCAGACAGCCTGAATGTACAAGCCTGTAACAGACGAATCATGGGTTACCTGTGTTTCCTCTGGATCCTTTTCAAATTCTTCATTGCTAAATGTTGACATAATAGTGAGTAACTGTTTACATAATAGTGATATTCTACCTTATCTAGAGGAACATTGCAACTGTTTGCAGCGAGCTCTAAGCAGATCACTGACTTTGCTGAGCYATTTAAACTCATTGATCGGCAGGCTCTCGATGCTCGCAGTGAAGTCAGTCTTGATAATTCTAAAGCATTTTGAAGGACTTGAGGCTGATGGATGCCTAACTTTTGAGCTAGGTTCGAAAGTACCTTTTCTTCCATTGATAGCTTTATATTTCTACGACACAAATGCGAGCTGACAACTCGACTCCAGCGACTCCAGCCTTTCGCGCCAAATATTTATTTTAAATCCGGGACATATAAACCTGCAGCCTACCACCCCTCCCAGGGCCGAATGCTTTGCCGAACACCTCCGAAGTTTCGTGTTTCCTCGGTAAGTTTCATTTTAAAAGCCAGTAGTACTTCAGAAACCTTATGAAAGGTTAAAAGGTTGTTGTAAGAAACCTACTCGAGTGTTCGTGAGTATGTTTCGGCTGTTCGTGATCTTAGCGAAAACAAATAAAGCCTGAATAGTCTAGAACGTTCCACAGCATTCTTTACGAGACGATCGTGATCGGCTGTTCGGGATTATGACGTATATTAACGAGTTCTTAGCGACGCTTACGTAAACAGGAGATTCTAGAACCTTCCTCACTCTACTGGATTCCATGCTGTGACGTGCAGCAGATCTAAAGTAGCTTGATATAATAACATTAGCAGCTATTTTTAGTAAGCTAAAGTAGCTAAGCACAGATTCTGTAAAAAAGTGCAATTTAGTTAACTCAAATGCGATACAGTATTAAATTGTTAATGTTAATTATTTTCCTATAAATGAAAATAATGCACACAATTTTTTTTTATATTATCATATTTTTATTTTTTATTTGTCAAACTTTTTATTCTTATTTCATTGGTACTTTTCTTTGATACTTGTAAAACTTTTGGTAGAGAAATAATAAAGTTAGTGATGTACAACTTCATAAATAAACACGTCTAATCGGAGTAACCTAGAGTTACCTTATATTCTCCAGGGTTTACAGGGGGTTTAGTGACAGAGAGCCTCAACGTTGCTAAAGACAGTTTTATACTTATTCAAAAAATAAAAAACCCTTGAATTGAAAAATAATCCGCATTAATAGGGAATAAAGTTTAAAAAGTGTGTTAGTTCTGAGTTAAGGGGTCAATGTCGCCACACCTCGATCACTGGCATTCCCTCTCTACTCGCGCAACGCATGCTGGGAGTGGAATTAAGTATAAATAGCTGCGTGCGGACATGTTGTCTTCATGGATATGAGAATGATGGTTCGAAGGTGGAAGTGAACCTATCTTTGCCATATTCATAGCAGGTTATTTTTCTTTGCACTTCGGAGATCCATCTTAATTATGCCGATGAAGTCGTTTGAAGGCGAACAGTATGTTATTCCGTCCAATGTACCAGCATTTTTAGTAAAGCTTTGGAAGCTTGTTGAAGATCCACAGTATGACATGCACATCTCTTGGAACAGGGTAATGAAATACAACCGTCAGTGACTCAACGTACAACATCACACTGATACACTAGGRTCTGAAGTACTTCAGACCTGGCATGGTGGAGTATTCAATGTTTTTATTTCTTGCAGAGTGGTTCAGGCTTTCTGGTCCACGACCAAGCGACGTTTGCAAGGGAGATCCTTCCAAAGTATTTCAAGCACAACAATTTCGCCAGCTTTGTACGGCAGCTCAACATGTGTAAGTGGTGTATCGTAGAAAGGTGTTGTTAGTTAAATAACTTGTTAGCTTCAACTAGTAATGTTAACGTAGGAGTTTTGACATTTGTTTGATGACACGAATAGCTTCCCATGCAAAACAGCTAGTAGCATCTCGTTTTCAGCGCAACTAAAGGTTGATATTTTTGCCAAGTTATTTGATTTCCTTAGTAAAAAGCATCCAGTTTCTTGTACATGCACTGAATGATCAAAAGTTGAAGAATATTTGATAGTGGAATCCTGTTTCGCAATTGCGTGAGCTGAGAAATTTGGATGTGATTGGGTTGTCTTGTTTTGATGTGAAATGATTTATTATCAAGATAGCGTCCATAGGCTTTTTTTTACATGTTTCTTGCTACGTTAGACGTTACTATTTTGTGCTAGTGTAGAAATAATCCCAGCTTTATTTCTTATTTGTTAAAAATAATCACAGAATCTACGTAATAGTTTGGGATTTGCTGGAAGACATTTGACTAGTAAAAAAAATTCGAAATTCGAATTAATTAAAAGCTACAATAGCTCATCTTTTTAGTTAAACGGATTCATAGCGTCCACGCAATGAAGTCGACTGTAAACATTGTGTTATAAGGGTGATTCTTCGTAAATATTTGAACTGTGTATCATTTAACTCATTGTTGTTATTGTTTCGCTGGCTCAATGCACGCGAATAGTTTTGATCATCATTCTTTATCTTATAATTCCTAACCATGTATATTTAACTAATTATACTAATTCCTTATGCAACTATATTTTAGAATGACTGGTTACTTTGTAGCTCGATAAGTGATGTTGATATGCTCCATTGATATACAAAGAGACAATAGAATGATACCTCAAAATTAATTCAAACCATTGTCAAAGAAATCATCGATATATATTCTACTTTTGTATTCAAAACAATATTTGAAAAGTCATGAATATTTAAAATCAATAGTTGTTGCAGGTTCTCTGATAATGACTGATATGATATACAGGGATGGGGGGTAGGGAGGGGGTATTTAGAGGATATACCACAAATACAAACTATGGGCGTTTTTTTCATGATGCTCTGGTGTCTCTGTTATAATCAGTGTATCAGTGCTATTAGATCATACCTACTTCATATGGTCTAATATTCAAATCATATTAAGTTCCATTAAATACACTTATATCATTACTGGGTAAATTGAACATACATGTAGTGTTTTTCTACACTATTTGTTTTATTGACATATTGACCACATTTTTTCCTCATCGTGTCATTACTATGATGTCGTCTATTTTCAGTGATTTTTTGCTACCTYKCAAGTGTCCATATCTGTGAACTGTCTGAGCTGTTTTTCATACAATAATTTTTTTGTGCTGTATTTTATCTTACATGTGCATTTATTGCTATATTATTTCAGACAAACCACTGAAAACATTTCAAATAGTTAGCAAGCGCCAAATAGTTGCATTTAATATCATTATTCTACAGTGTATTGTGGAAATGACTTTTTTTAAACTTTTTTTTATCATTTCAATTTTATTTCTCAATAATTAAATTAGATTAAAATGAATCAAGTGTTCAAATGACCTATTCAGATTTGGTATATTTCAGATGGATTTCGTAAAGTGATTGGAGCAGAGCAAGGAGGGTTGAGGTCTGACAATGATGTCTGGGAGTTTCACAATCCTAATTTCCAGTGCGGACAACCACAGCTCCTTGAAAATGTTAAAAGAAAGGTAAAAACAGTAAGCTTTACACTCATTTCTAATGAATAAATTAATRCTACTGTATTACTAAAACTTTTGCTACCTTTTTAACTCGAAGATTGCGAAGCAATCAAAGAGTTGTTGGAGGGGGATGAATCTGTCACTCACTACTTAAGTCAGTCACTTTCCTGTAAACTTGAGCCTGTGTTACTTGTGTTTGGAATTCTTGATTTATTCTTATTGTTTTATAGTAATTTATTCACTAATTTTCCATCACCGTTTCCCTGTGCTATATATTTCATTAAATTTATTTATTTTTTGGCAAATAAAGAAATAAAAGAAGCATTTATGTCCAAAGGTTATAACCAAAGGTTATTATATGATTATGGTTAATAATACATTTGGATGGCTTTGGTTGGCATAGTTGCACTGTGTGACATTGACAGATCAAAATGTTTTCAAGTGCATTTGGRGAAAAATGTGAAAAATGCTTTCAAAACGAGGTTGTTGGAGTGAAAGAAAACACGCTAGGTACTCCTCTTTTTTCTTTGTAAAATTTTGTTACTGTACATTTGATGTGTAAGTATTGTTATCACCTGTGATACACTCTCCAGTCTCTCCTACAACCTTTTGAATTTGTAATAGTTGGATAAGTAMTGCATTACTTGGGGCTAAATGTAATTTAGGCAAAGTTAAAACCTACTTCTGGCCAGYKGGTTCATGGGACATGCTTTGGGGTGGTCTGGCTTGCCTCAGGGTTACTGGCAGTTCTTGCAGGGTGGCAGCTTTGCYYGGGGGCAGTGAGCTGTTGCCRGGTTGCCATGGTCACCTTGGAGTGGGGGTTGGTTAGGCACTACCTGCCCTCGCACCCCTGSGGCTCATCCCAAACTTATCACCAGATAAGTTTTTAAATGGTAGAAAAGTGCTTCAAGTTTGATTACAAGAAAAATATGAAGCACTTAAAAATACATATTTATCATCACTTTCTTGCCTTGTGTTTTATACTTTTATCAATAAGTGCCCCTCATTACAGTCAGTTGGTGATGAAAATCAACCCCTGTAATGTTGTGATATATTTTATCAGGCTGCACCAGAGGAGAAGAAGCTGAAGAATGAAGATGTGTCCAAAGTGCTGCATGATGTGAAGGACATGAAGGGAAAGCAGGATGAAATGACAGCTAAACTGGAACAAATGAAAAGGTTAGAACAAAAATCAAGCAGGCTTGATGGCTGAAGGCTTCAAAGCCTTAGAAAGGTCATTTGCCAAAATACTGATGAATAAAACATAAGTGATGTACATATGAATCCAAATATATGTCACTGACTGTTTTTATCAGAATGTATATTGTTAATGATGTTTATTTGTAAAGTGAGTTCAGTATACCTAGAAACCATTGACAACACATTGAAAAGATGCCATCTTGTTCTTTTTTTATTTCAGAGAGAATGAGACTTTGTGGAGGGAGCTTGTTGACCTGAGAACAAAGCATTCAAGACAGCAGCATGTTGTCAATAGGGTAATGTTATCAATAAGGTTGTTGGTATTTGATATTATTAACTAAAAGTACATGTATGTTTSTTATTAGTTGTTTCAGTTTCTCATGAGATTAGTCTATCAAAATGAAGCCAAACTGGCCAATAAAAAAAGGTACATTCWAATGTCAGCTATTGTAGAACTKGTGTGGGGACAAACCATGAATCTTTCCCAGCTGTTTTTGATAAATTTCAAAGCATGTTGTTCTGTTGTTTTTGTGAATGTACACATCTTGATGCTGTAGGTTTGAGAATAGTTCCAGGATACCTGACTGAGTAAATAACTGATTGTTATGTTTTCTAACCAGGTTAATGCTTCAAGATTCATCAGAACATGAAGCTGCAGCCAAGCGTGCAAGACAAGAGTACCCAATGGACTCCCATGCACCTAG